CTTATACACATCTAGATGTGTATAAGAGACAGCACACACACACATAGAGAGAGAGAGAGAGAGAGAGAGAGAGAGAGAGAGAGAGAGAGAGAGAGAGAGAGAGAGAGAGACTACTTTCGGAGAAAACTTCGGGGGCCAAGACGCCACTAGCAGCGTTGAGTTTCCTCAACTCCTGAATTTGGACGTGTTCATGGATCAATTTGCTCCACGGGAAAGAAAACGAAAAATCCAAAGAAATGTGTGGGTGGAAAAAAGAAAACAAAAAACAAATGCATGCTTCTTTTCAACGGAATAAAAGAATGCTTGAAAAGCTGTCACACCGTTGAGGTAGCTCAACTCAAAGGTGCAGGGGCGAGGTCCCATTAGCAGACGGATAGGAGTGTGGCCTATCCTGTGTGACATGAAGGGGCGTAGGGCAGTGAATTCCGTTGGTTGAGGTTTAGGCGGCAATTCAGCATCCCAATCTGCAGTTCAGATCCAGAGTGTCACCTGGGTTCCTGGATAGGGCCCAGAAGTGGGGCTATCTCTCCAACGGGACTGTCCCCGGATGACTGTTCTTTGCTATATATGGATAGTAGCCAAGAACACTCATCACGCTTTGTTTCTCCATTTCTTTTCTCTTCTTTTTTTTTCTTCTTTTTTTTTTTTTCAACAAGAAACAACCCGAGTGAATGCTAGTGGTGCTGATAAGGGCAGACACCACTAGCATGCTCGGGGAGGCTCCATCTATTGGTGGGGAGCAACACCTGCTGGAAACCAGGTCCAGCGTCCCTTAACATTTTAGGAAGGGGTAGTTTGTAAACAAACAGGAGTTATGTAACCGTGTCACGTGTCCATCCTACTGTAAACATGAGTGATCACCTGAATCGACACGCAGGCACACATCATTAATCCGATGAGCAGTATTGATTGCCCTCAACCGAGGGGATTACTGGCCATCGCAATCTAACGTCATATCCCTAGTCTGAATCCTTCATCATCTACCAAGTCGCTCTTGCAGCACCCGGGGAGGAGGGGCATTCAGAATAGGGGGCAA